CATTTTGCATAGCTTGGACATTATAGTTTTATTATGCTAACCAGTTAGATGGTATAAAGCTCCCGAACGCGTGTGTAATGACAACGACTGACAAGACTACTGTACACAACTCAATGGTTTAATCGTCAGTACTCAGACCGTGTGATACTAATTTTCTTCGAGTCCCGAGTAAAACCTATGTGATGTTATACACTTCAATAAACGTAAGACAACATATTTTGTGTTAAATATTTGCTGTACAGTTCAAGGCTTGGCTATGACAGGAAATATCAAGCGTTTGTTGTCGAGACGTATTTACGGAACTTTTAAAGCAATGTATACTTCCAATCAAAAGTTTAGACTCACTTAAAACACTCACTATATGTTCTGTGTTTATACATGGTTACGTCGAAGATAGATTCTCCACTAACTTGGGGGAACCAACTGCAAACCTTATGCAGATGAATTGAACGAGGATCATGCATCAAATTGCTGAAAAGCATCTGCAAATATCGTGCATATGAACAGCTGCGCTTTAGTGTAAAGTGTTATTAAGAATGCGCCAAGTTTCACTGATTTTTATCATTTATTGAACTCATGACAATAATCTGTTCAACAGTACGAATTTGTTGTGCAAGAGATCAGTTCATGATAAACAGTTCCTTTAAACAGTATGGAATATTTTGCAAAATCTAGTTTTAGAACAGTTGCCTGAAGTAAGTGGCCATATATACACTAGTGAGTCTAAACTTTTGATGGGAAGTATATTAAAGATGTACTGTTTTAGAGTGGCAATTCCCGCTTACAACCAAAACTCGGTGTAATTCCTTTTGTAAATTCTATAATTCTGGTACTAGAAATTCATCCTTTAGTTTACTCTTTAAATCAAACTCTTAAATATGTTCAAGATTATGAGATGACATTTCGTATCAAAGAATTGACACAGGCAGAAGAAACGGTATCTCAAGACAAGGTTGGTTATGTATATATTCAATTGTAATACATGTGAAATAGAAGAACTATACCATTTTACAGTTATCTACCAAATATCTCCCAATAAAGGAAGGAACAAGTATATATCTCGACTAAGTAAGAAAATACATCAGTCAAAACAACAGTTCTGCATTGTCAACCTTTTGTAACAACAAATGAAAGTCGTGATTGAATGCTGCAGTAACATATATACATTATTAATCACATAAAAATAGATTTAATGTAATACAATTTCACCAGTGCAGGTGTTTTCACTTACCTTTCCGACACGTATTACACAAATCAGTAACTTTCAATTTATCAGTATGAAGCAAATGAAAAACGGATCTTTTCTATTTTGTACTCTATGACAGTACTCCAAGGCACTCAGCCCTCCACTCGTAAATATGGACGAAATGTCCACGCAACAACAGTGATAGCTAGCACGTATTGTCATGCACCGAGATGCGCCCTCTAAACTGTTTTAATATGGCGTAAGAATATATTATCATTGAGGACAGTCTGTATTATCAGCTTCCTATGTCAATCAACTTATCTGTACAATATAACCGTCATCTTGTATAGGAAAAATTATTGTTATGCTAAGAACTCTTTTCTCCTATACCACCGTGGGTGGTTCGTTTTGAGAATAAATGAATTGAATTGGATGTCGCCTTGTCGATCCACTTGACTCTTCAGGATGGTAAACTCCTCATACAAAAGCATCAAAACCATTTTCATCATAATTCCGTAATCGTTACCACGATGTACGATTCTGACTAAAGTTACTGTTAAGCAGTGATGGTATTAAACAGTGACCGTACCCCACTCCAAGGGTTTCAACGCACGTCGTGATGACAATGCATTCACATACATTAATAAACTTTCTGTCTACAATTGAAGAAAACAATGTTTGGGTGGATATTGTCCTTTATTAATAAGTTACTTAATTTGTGAAGTAGAAAACGATACTTTACAATTAAAAAATATTTCGGCCATATCCAATGACTTTCTCTGATAAATCTCGATCTGTCTTCACTTAAAAGATAATCACTATCCATCTCCAGTGGCTGGTGCTCCAAACAGAGGACCATGACCTCATCTATCATACCATGTGCCTTCAATAATGTAAAGAGTGTTATGATATGAAGCAGAAAGTGACTTTGGAAGGCGGTGGGGTAGCGTCCGCTCGTCACACTGAAGACACGGGTTCGATTCCCACATGGGCACAACGTGTGAAGCCCATTTCTGGTGCCCCCCGTCGTGATATTGCTGAAATATTGCTTAAAGTGGCGTGAAATCATACTCACGAACTCGGTTATCTCTTGAATGAATGAAGTCCTTTAACATGTCACTTGGAATGACCGCACTGTTTCACCAAATCAAATTATGCAGCAACAGTCAATGATTTATAATATTAATAGTAATTATATTCTTCTAGTGAGTGAGTGAATTAAAATTTGTAGTCACATCGACAATATTTCAGCCATATCGTGACTAAAACCAAGCTATAATTTCATAATAAATAAAGGCAATTTATAAAACACTGTCAACGAAGGACAGTAAAACAAGTAGACTATCACATATTTCATTTTAAAACTAGTAAGTAAATCTACGACATATAACAATAGATTACAATACAATATAAAAACAGGCTATAGACTGCCAACAATCGAAGGGAGATGACCATGGTGACTTACCGTACATTTGCTTCCTGCAGGGTTAGGTCCCATACTGCCTACAGTTCCAAACTGCCTACATCCCAAATTGCCAACAAAAATATTGTAGGCAGCGTGAGAAATGATTTTTTTGCCCTGTAGAATAATGGAACAGCGTATTTATCAGATGCTTGATTGGCATTTTAGAAGATGATATTTGATGAACATAGAGATTTTTTCCGGGTTACATCTTCTTTGTATTCTCATGCATGAAAAAAATAAAAAGAAGATGTAACCCAGAAACAATCTCTATGTTCAGCGTAATTATCAATGAAGAAGGGGTGCGTCGTTAGGAGTAAGAGATAATTAGGGGGATTATATTAGTAATGATGGTACCGTAATGATACATGCTCTGTGTGTAGTATGTTTTGAGTCATATCATCCAATAAAGATTACAAGACATGTACAATGATATTGTTTTATTTTGTTTTGGGAAGCAGTTAACATGTTTATATTGTAATCTCCAAAGCAGGAATAGCTTCAGATTATGTCTAAAACATGGTAGGACTAAAATGTTAAGATCTCATCTTCTCAGTTAATTAAACTCCTAATAAGTTAGAAGGGGAACCAACTGCATCCATCACACAATGGCAAATGTTCAGCGCGTTGAATTCATCACTTCTCAAGCAGGACAGCAAGTTTTCTTTGCTGGGTGCCGATATCGCCTCAACGTCAGACGACAGACCACAACACATTAGAAGTGTGTACATTCTGCATGCAAAGACTACAAGGACATCCCACAGGTGCAGGCCCATGTCAGGAGAGCAGCTGCCCTTCCACTACTCCCACGGGACATGATGCTGCTGGACATCTCATCAAGTTTGCTGAGTGATTGTCAATTGTGTGTAATTGTGAAACCAAAGACTGTAAAACCAATGAAAGACAGTAAAACTTATAATTTCTTCATGATATGTCCATGTAAAGACTGAGAATTCCCAGAATGAATAAAGATGTCTTACCAACCACCACTTGTCATGTTTTTTTAAACTTCTGTAGGCAGAGTGGGAAGACACCATAGACCAGTTCAGTAACCAACTAACTGGTCAAGTTCATTTTAGCAGGGGTAGAACAGGTCAGGTCGGTGTATACCCATTACCTTCACTTCCTGATCACTGGACCGTATCATTGTTGTTTTAACCTGGAGGTAGTTTGGAACTGTAAACAGTATAGGAATACACCACCTGCAAGGGCCCTAGCTGGATTTACACAATCCCTTAAGATGTTATAATTAGCAAGTTTGGAGAATCTAGCCATAAATTAAAATAACACTTATGTGTAGGATAAAATATGTCAGAGGGTTTTTATGAGATTTAAAACCCGTAACCCTCAGGATAAAGCGGTTACGGGTTTTAAATCTCATAAAAACCCTTGGACATATTTTATCCTACACATCTTTTTTATCCTACACATATATGTGGGGAAAAAATGTTTTATCTAGTTATAAACCGCTTATAAACCGAATATCATTTTTATAAATGTATTTTGTAGTGTTTTTGGTAATCGAAAAACATACGGCTTCGTTATACCACGTTGAGTGGTACACCGAGGTGATCTCTCAAACGGGAGTCCCCGTCCCAACCAGCACCCGTTATGCACGTGCAGCGTCTGCATAAAATAGAGAATCACGTGGTGTTCTGTCACATTTTCGTTGGATAGCGGTGGGAGCAGTTCGTCAAAATGAGAGACGAAGATGACGATATTTAAACTGCCGGGCAGTGATGAAAACGAGACAGAAGACGAAGATTTTAAGTACCGTTTTGGAAAGCCTCTTTCCAGTGAAGAACTTCGAAAAAACACTGAAATCTGCGTCCCGAAATCAACAAGGTACAGAAATGAATGGGGGTTAGGCGTTTTAAAACGATGGCAAGAGGAGCGACGCATGAGGTCTCTTTCAGATAATGTTGAGATGCCGTCTCCATGTTTGTTTGAAAACATTCCAGAAATGAGTCCACAAAATATTAACATCGCCTTACAATATTTTGCCTTTGAAGCCAGAAATAAGATGGCACAAACTATCCCTCAAATTCTCTCTATGGGTTGTTTTCGGCATTGCAGTCAAGTTTACAAGGAAAAGGTCAAAATCTAAACATTTTTTAGGATAATGAATTTACAGCAGCCAGAAATAGTTTAGATGCAAGCATGAGGCGCCTTTCTCAATGTGGTTTGGGAGCTGCAAGTAGGAAGAAAACGGACGCCATTTCGACAGAGGAGGAGGAGTGTTTGTGGGAGCGAGGCAGTCTTGGAGAGGACAATCCAGCACAACTTTTGGATACAGCACTGTATCTTACAGGTATGTTTTAGAATGATTTCAGCATAGCAGTTAACATTTTGAAGTGCATGTTTAACCATCGAACAGTCTACATGTTATTCACTGCATTATAAAGAAATGCCGGTAAAATGCACAAACACTTTAGATGTCTTTGTTTTTAGTTTGGCGATCGTTCATTATCCTAGCTAGTATGCAGGTGCTCCGTATCTAAAAAGTAAGTTTATGTTCTACTTGTTTCAGGCCTTCATTTTGCTGTGAGGGAAGGCAAGGAACACCGAGATTTAAGATTGTGGAACAACCCCCAAATCACTGGCCCACATTTTGATGCGCGAGGACATAGTTGCTGTTTGTTGTATAAAGAGGATAGCAGTAAAACGAATCAAGGCGGCATCAACGACCGAAACACTACACCAAAGGAAGTGCAGGAATATGAAAACCGACACAAAGATTGATGTTTCGTCAGGCTGTTTCAGAAGTACAAGTCTCTGTGGTAGGTAATCTTGATTCATCAAAACCCTTGCATGCTGACATTTATGATAATTGAAATATAGGTTGAGACTAATTTTGAATCTGTCATGTTCCAGCACTGCCGGAAAGGACACTGACATCTTTTGCTTTAAACCAGTCACTAAACCAACTCCTGCCAATTGGTTCACGAAATATCCAGTGGGGCACAACACCCTACAGGGCAGTATCAAGCGATTATGTGAAGCAAGTGGGATAAGAGGCAAAACCAATTATTCCCTGCGAGCTACGGCGGCCACGCGACTATTCCAGGCTAACGTGCAATGTAACAGGTTCGTTACTAACATTTGTAACTACTATAGCGGACCATGTGATCCTTTTGCAAGAATCTGATACCAAACATTGGTCCTCTTCATCACTTTTGTAGTCAAATATATGTGTCAATTGCAATCGATTTTTCTCTTTGGAAATATTGTCAGCTATAAACTCTGGCTATGCATTAGTATAGTAAAATAATTTATTGCTAACGATGTGGATGATAAAACAATGTATTTTACATGCTTAGAATATACAAAACCCCGTAGAGAAACGTAAACCTCGTAAACTTGTTCTTAAAGGTATATCCATTGCTTACAGGACACCGAAGCGAGGCCGTAAGGACCTATAAGCATCTGTCTGACGAGCAACAAGAGGTTGTGTCGACTAGCCTTACACAAACGACACGCACAACGTCCAACACCACGCCCACTGACCCGGTTGAAGCTAAGGCGGAATCCGAAGTTGGCCCCGAGGACAGAAATGCTCCCGGTGTTCATACAATGTCCATTCTTGCCAAACATGTTACCAACTTTAACTTTCACTAAATAAATTCTGAAATTCTGTTTTGTTTTCCTTTCAAGGAGAAAGTATACTGTACAGGTCACGAGGTGATATCCCGGGGATTTCCATGCAACACACCAACTTAAAAGACAATAGGATGACGTCACATGAGGTTTATAAACTGCGATTAAAAATAGTATTAAGTTTAAATTTACTTTAATTGTTTTGGCACTTAAATACCTTCTCAGGAGGACAATAATTTTTCAGTACTTTATCCCCCTTCGAGGATACAGCAACAAACAACTACCAATCATAAAATATTTATCTATTTACACAACATTAATCAAAATTTATCTAAAACCTCTTTTAAAAATGCAATAATTAAATGATAATTCAACCTAAAAAGATCCTTCAATGTTTTGACATTGAAATATTTATCCCTTGTGATGGAAACTATATTCTTCTAAATGTTTCTACTCATTCCTGTGGCAATCTAGTTATTCTACTGTTAATTGATGACAGGTTTCTTATTCTAAATGTAGTTTAATATTTATTTTCAAGTTCTCGTCACGATATGGCTGAAATATTACAGATGTGACGTTAAGTTTTAACTCACTCACTGAAGTAGATTGTTTTCCAACACGTTACTGAAATTGTCTGAATACACCGATCCCGTATAAGTAAACCGCGTTGATGGAAACTATGAAAATTCAAATGAAAGTTGAACTGTTAGAAACATATGCAATATATCAAACATCATCCTCGATAATCTCCAGGGTATACGTTACGATCACTCTCCACTATACCCTGGATGCATCCACGGCTTTACTGGCTTTTTATCCAATCAGGTGTCTACGCTGGGAAGTTGAGCGAACCAATGACAGCTCACTTTCGCTTCTTAAACTATCTAACCGTTTAAACGTTGCAACACAATTGATGCAGAGGTACTCTGAAAGGGGTAGAAGGAGTTCTTTTATATATTTTTTGTAAAGTTTCAGATCTGTCAATTTGTCTGTATGATTTCCCCAAAACATATGAGTGGCACTGCGAACAAACCTTCGCGACTGCGACCGCTATCTTTGTTGACACTGGCAAGCTCGGATGTAACAGCGGCTTAGCTGATTGGCTACTGTGAGAATGTGGAGCCAGCAAAGGGAGGTAATATAATTATCGGGCCAAGCCGTGGATGCATCCAGGGTATAGTGGAGAGTGATCGTAACGTATACCCTGGACATTATCGAGGATGATCAAACATTTGAAAAACGTTAAACCACAATAACTAGATGGTATCGGGTCTCTCACATTTCATTAGTTTTAACATGAGTTCCATGTAGTTGATGTTTGGTGTTTAACGCTTCACTCAGCAATATTCCATATAGCGGAGGCCGGTAAATAATCGAGTCTGGACCAGACAATACAGTGATCAACAGCATGAGCATCATACGATGACGTGTCAACCAAGTCAGCGAGCCTGACCACCCGATCCCGTTAGTCGCCTCTTACAAGCATAGGTTACTGAAGACCAATTCTAACCCGGATCTTCACGGGTTACCAGTTATAAGATTGTGATATAAGGTTTATCTAGACATGGATAGTCTGACGCAGATTTTAGAGAATAATCTGGATCGATTATCTGCCGAAACAGACTGTATTGATTCAAAGGCATACTACTGGTAGAAACATGAAACAGTGAAACCCCGTGAGTCCCCGGAAGCAATACAGGTCCGTTGCGTTATCACGGAATGGGTCTATATATGAAAACATGTGTCATTCATTCCAAACTTTGTAAAACAATTCCAACGAAATCCATTGGCGCAAAAGAAAACGAATTTAAACACTGTAAATTACACTGTAACTGTTTCACAAGTGCCCTAACCACTGGCATATGATTTTATCACTCGCTTTGGCCACCATATGATTGGTTCTAAAAATGTCAACATATAACTCAATCTTTGATGCTTCGTATGAAACAAGAGACGATCAATTATGAAAATAGAATATTTAATATTTAAGCTCTAAACATTTGCATGTGCCAATCTGTTAAGGTTTCCTGTTGCGGAGAAAACAATTTCAGATCGCATTGTATTACATCCATATATATGTCAAAAATAGCGTTTCCGTTATTAAAGTACTGTCGGAAGTAGAAAAAAAATGTTTTTAGGCTGTTGCTCTGTATCCCTAAAATGGACATAATTGCAAATAGGATATGTCGAAATAACCCACTTCGGCCTAACTTGGCATTCAGTGGGATGCGTAATAGGATATCCAGAAAAGCATGTTTACTCGTAAAATCGGGCAAAACTTAGAAAAAATACCTGTAGCTGCTGAAAACAATAGATCAGACTATAGATGGCAATTAGGTCGCTCAGCCAGGTATGACGACGGACTGTCGACTCACCTGGCATGAAATGCATGTGCTGCCTACAGGCACAAGGGGTCATCTCAAAGATAGTTTGTGCTTTTTCATGTGTGTTGACTATGCCTCATCTATTGATTAACATCGTATGTGTCTTTCTTTCATTACGTTTATGTTAAGATATGTAAAAGAGTTTGATACCTGATAACCATAGAAACGCATCGTATTAAATGTCTCAAAATATATAGGTGGCATGACCTCCCGATCGTGAAGATCGACAGGACTGGATGTTATTTATAAATTGTTGTGACATGCCGTGTACTTCCCAAGTATAATTGCCCTAAAGGATGATCTCATCTTAGCTGATATCTCTATCCCCCAGCCCGACCCCAACGATCGTCTGCGACACCCGTCCAGGTTTTGCTTTTGAGACGAACCCTCCTATCTGTTTCTTTTTATAGTGACAGCGAGACTCTATGTAGCTACATCCTTAATAGTTTCAGCATGAAAGTTATTATTTTTTACGCCAGCTATTGTTTATAATGAAGCTACGTCTTATTTCAAATTGGGCATTTAAAAACTGTCCTTTGTGATACAATATCGTCACACACTAATTTGCATAAAGCCATGGTCTGTTCCAAATAAATCGTTTTGGACTTAGCAAAAACCCGCATTGCTCATTTCTGCACTAATCACTCCTCAGTAAAGTCCTTTTTCTACATTTCCTATGTCCCTATCACTTAGACTGTAGTTAGGCCAAACTTAGTTTAACAAATATTTCACACTTGCACATATCAACTACATAAATTGTAGAGATAAATGAGAAAATACAGTTTTTTTCTATTTCCGACAGTACTTTAGGATATATTTCGGAAGATAATTGCATAACTAAGGATAGATGTCTGGAGGACATACAACATATCAAATACATGGCCTCTTAATCTAAGAACGCATGGTTATATGTCACAATTAGTATAATTACGTGTATACGATCTAGATGCAAAGGAATCAATAATGTTCTCTTATGAAAATGTCAAGTCTATGATGATAGAAGTTTAGCACTATGTGCCAGGTCAGTATATCGCTTCAGTGGTAGTTGTGTCGGTGCCCGAAGACATCGGGCCAAACCCTAGCCAAGCTAGAGCTCACACCTTTTAGTTCTATCTATGGACCAAGCTGTAGATACCCAAGCGAAATGACACGAATGCAGCTATGCATATAAACATCAGCAATTAAGAAAATGCTCTTTTTGGGGTTTAAGTATCACGACTGACTGTTACCAGTGTCTGGAATAACCCCCTTTCTTACGGTTGACATTCCCGAGGCGGCTCGTTGTGCTGGTGAGACGTCTGGTGTTCAACATTTGCATAATATCGGATCCTGGCCAAGTGCCTGTGTTAAAGTACTGTCGGAAATAGAAAAAAAACTGTTTTTAGGCTGTTACTCTGTATCCCTAAAATTTACACAATTGCAAATAGCATATGTCGAAATAACCCACTTCGGCCTAACTGGGCGTTCAGTGGGATGCGTAATACGATATCCAGAAAAGCATGTTTACTCGTAAAATCGGGCAAAACTTAGAAAAAATAAGAATAGCTGCTGAAAACAATAGATCAGACTATAGATGGCAATTAGGTCGCTCAGCCAAGTATGACGACGGACCGTCGACTCACCTGGCATGAAATGCACGTGCTGCCTACAGGCACAAGGGGTCATCTCAAAGATATTCTGTGCTTTGTCATGTGTGTTGACTATGTCTCATCTATTGATTAACATCTTACGTGTCTTTCTTTCATATAGTTTCATATAGTTTATGTTGAGAAATGTAAAAGAGTATGATACCCGAAAACCATAGAAACGCATCGTAGTATATAGGTGGCATGACTACCCGAAGATCGACAGGGCTGGATATTATTTGTAAATTGTTATGACGTGCCATGTACCTCCACAGTATAATTGCCCTAAAGGATTATCTTATCTTAGCTGAAATCTCTATCCCCAAGCCCGATCCCAGGTTTTGCTTTTGAGACGGCCCCTCCTATCTGTTTCTTTTTATAGCGACAGTGAGACTGCATGGTAGCTACATCCTTAATAGTTTCGGCATAAAAGTTATTATTTTTTACGTCAGCTATCGTTTATAATGAAGCTACGTCTAATTTCAAAATGGGCATTTAAAAAGTGTCCTTTGTAATACAATATCGTCGCACACTAATTTGCATAAAGCCATGGTCTGTTCGAAATAAGTCTTTTTGGACTTCCTATCTCTCTACCACCGATACTTTAGATAGGCCGAACTTAGTTTAACATGTATTTCACACTTGCACATATCAACTACATAAATTGTAGAGTTAAATGAGAAAATACAGTTTTTTTCTATTTCCGACAGTACTATAGTTGTAGACTATTGGGTATCCAGCTTTCATTTATACAGACCCGTGAAGACCCGGTAAGAACTGATCTTCAGGAACCCATGCTTGTCGTAAGAGGCGACTAACGGGATCAGGTGGTCAGGCTCGCTGACTTGGCTGACACATGTCATCGGTTCCCACTTGCGTAGATCGATGCTCATGCTGTTGATCACTGGATTGTCTGATCCAGACTCGATTATTTACAGACCGCCACCATATAGCTGGAATATTGCTGAGTGCGGTGTAAAACTATATTCACTCATTTATACATATATTATGTACGTTACGGCGAATTGG